GAGAGAGAGAGAGAGAGAGAGAGAGAGAGAGAGAGAGAATGGGGAAAAATGAAGATAAATAAACTTTGATTATATAAAGAAGAGAAATGCTACGGTCTCGTTACGGTACCATCCCGTCGAGTGTTTTAATCATTGGATACACGTGTAGTTACATAAGATAGATGATCCAACGTTTAAAACATCGACGAAATCGTATCGTAACGAGACGGTAACATTTTCCAATAAAGAAAAGTAATTTTTGTAGAGGATTTGATTAAGAAAATGTGAATTACGATTTCGATTATGTAGCTGCAAAAATTCTATGAAGTCATCGGATGGTTTTCTTATGGAGTCATCCACCACTTAATGTATTGACATCTGTCCAAAATATATTTATTGTAAAACACATGTCAATACACTATTGGTGAATAAGTGTAGATGACTCATAAATCGAGCCATCGGATGACTTCATAGCAAAACTGCATGTAGCTGAATTTTGAGAGTGTCATGTGCCAAAGATTGAAAGAAGTAATCAAGCAACACAATTAAAGAAGATTCATGAGAGTTTGACATTGTCATGTGGCCGGCAAACAAGACCTAGGAATTTGTATGTTATTAGTAATTTTTTATTCAAACGTCTAATTTGAATCAAATAAGACTAATTAATACCTTGGTTTCGTAAGTAGATGAATTGGATCAAGTCTCGGTAATCACAAATATCACACCAAAGTATTTTTATATTGTACCGCAATATAAATCTTGTGAGGTGGTTTAGTGGGATTATTTCCTTTGTAAGCTTTGACCTTTTAAAAAGGAAGACGGAAAACGATGTAATTGGTTAAGAAAAAAAATAAAAAATCAAAAGAGACTTAAATCATTTTCAAACATATAATTCATTGATTAATTTGAAATAAATATAATTCAGACCTTATAAGGACATTACTCATGCTAACACTTCTCAAAGATATTTTATTTTGGCATTAATTTAATGGTTCGAACAAGCACCTGGAACCACAAAAAAATGAAAGTTCTTCAATTATTTTATTTTCTTAATTGAGTTTATTTCATATTCCATATATAAGATATTATGGATCTTAGTATGATATTTTATATTGTAGGAAATCGGACTTGAAAGAATTAAAGGAATAAGAGGCGTGCATGTTAAAGAGATCAAGGAGAGATAGAATGAAAGATTTACTTGCCAAAGATAAGCGACAATTATGGAAGGAAATCATATTTGGAGTCCTATGCCTTGTAGAAGACTCCAACCCTAAGGAGTTCATATAAATACCCTAGGAGAAGCTCCTATTGCGGCTGCTGAAGTTAGAGAGATTTTTAGAGCAATATTTGAGCTTCATATTTTCTGTTCTATTTAGTTGTACACAGTTCAGTACGAGAGTTCTTACACACTCAAGGACTGAAGCTGTTTTTTGTTTTGTTTCTTTGTTTCATCAAAACTATCTTTTGTTTTTACACTTAGGGAGTAAGTGTAGGTTAAGAAGTCCACGGGACATGGCCGAAAAATTAGTTGATAGGATCGTGAATAGTGTTGGCTAGACTAGAGTGGAGTTCAAGTCTTGTAAGTCTAAACTATGTCTGTATGCGATTTATCAATGAAAGAGCTCTGAGGGGAACTGGGATGCTTCCCTGAAGAGTTTTTAAATCTTCAGTCTTATTGCTTCCGCATTTTACAGTTCTTGTTTCGGTTCGTTCTAATTGGCGCACTCCGTGATAATTATACGTTTCAACTGGCACCAGAGCAGTGTTCCTGTTCTAACTACGGGATAAAGATCTTTGGGACTGTGTGTCGGTCACCATGAGTCATGATGGTGGGATGTCTGTCTTGCGCCCTCCGTTCTTTGATGGCTCTAATTACGCTTACTGGAAATCAATGATGGTTATCTTTCTTCGGTCTCTTGGCAAAGGCACATGGCAGGCCGTTGAATCTGGTTGGACTGTACCTCTCATGGAAAAGGTTCTTGCTGAAACTAAAACATCAGAGTCCTCGGATGGAAAATCGTAAACTACCAAAGTTTTGGTTGAAAAACCAAGGAGTATTTGGACCGATGATGAAAAACAAGCAGAATAAGCCAACTTTCGAGCTTTATATGCCATAATGTCTGCCGTAGATCCCACCTGTCACAAGATAATAATTCAGTGCACCACCGCTCAAGAAGCTTGGAGGATCTTGGAAAGACAGTTTGAAGGCACAAACGCGGTTAAAACGTTAAAGCTCCAAAGAGTCTCAATTAAGCTCGATGAGATCCGTATGAGGGAGGATGAAACGATTGACATGTACTATGCTCGTTTGTGCGATCTAGTTAACCAAAGTGCAATGCTTGGTGAGCCGATTCCAAAAGCTAGGCAAGTGCAGAAACTAATGAGAACTCTACCGGATAGGTTCGGGATCAAGATTACAGCACTAGAGAGTTTTCAGAGGATTCATAAACTTTGCATTAATGATCTTCTCAGCGAACTTTACACCTTAGAAATTAATCATGGCTTCGACTCTATGAGGATAAGCAAAGGGAAAGGGCTAGCATTAAAGGCCATGGTTCGTACTGCAGTTGTTGAGGATGATGAATTCGATGAAGAATCGTTTGATGCTGATGAAATCACAAAGGCTCTCACTGTGCTCACCAAGAATGTCTCGAAGCTGAAGAAATTTCAGAAAAAGAGATTCCAGGGCAACAGGTCCTTTGAAGGTGGTAGGAACCAAATTTAGCAATTTGGAGAAAAGCGTTCTGGCATGCAGCTGAACAAGTTTCAGAATTCTAACCAAGGAGTAGAAAAAGACCAGTGCCGTGAATGCAAAGGCTTCGACCACTTTCAAAATGAGTGTCCTAATTTCAAGAAGAAGAATAAGACATTCAAGGCTACATGGTCTGACTCCAGTGATGACGAGGAGGAAGAATCTGAAAAGACTGAGAATTCTAACTATTCAAATAACTCTACTAAATGTCTTTTAAATGAATATAATTGTTTTACTTCCTCTATTCATTTGACTGACGTTGAGTCTGACGCAGGTTCTTACGCAAAGAATTTGAGCAATGTGGATTCTGATGAATTCTCTGATCCAGCTGCTAAAACCTCGTACTTCACAAGTATGCTATAGAAAAATGTCTCAAGGCAGTGGAGATCATCAAGAAGTACCAGGCTCAAAAGTTGAATATGAAGGCTATGGAACATAAATCTGCTGAACGAGAGAAGGAGATTGTCTATCTTAGAGACGAACTTCAGAAGATGAGGGTAATGACCGTTGATCTGAATGAGAAACTCATCAAATCAGATCTTCATATCGGAAAGCAAGACAAGGACCTAAACAGTTGTTTCGCGAAGCTTGCACTGGTTGAGCATGGAGATAAACTCAACAAACAGACAAGTGAAGAACAAACTTTTACTATCAAATCCCTACGTAACGAATTGTTTGCTGTGCAAAGTCTTGTAGGTGAAAGAGAAACTGAAATAGTTGTTCTCAAGGAGGAACTCGATCGTGTATTTGAGGAACATGTAGCACTTCGGAGTCATTGTTCTACCCTTGAAGAAAGGCTTAGTTAGAGTGAGGAAGTTGTCAAAATGATCAGTAAGCCAAGGGCATCATACGCTGAAGTTCAAAAATTGAGTCGGCAGATTGGTTCATCCAACCCAAGTAACAATGTCCCGAACTAGAAACTGAAAGGGATGGTTGGAGAATCGAGCTCATCACTAAGTAAGGCTGATCTAACTTTTGTTAAAGAAGGATACTCAATTGATTCCAATAAAGGTAAGCCAAACTCTCCAAAAGCTCAGCACAAAAATTCTGGTAAGAACTTTGTACCTGTTTGTCACTACTGTGGGATTCGCGGTCACATTCGTCACAAGTGTTATAGAATGCATAATGATATATACAAGGGTCGAATTAATGACTGGAGTCCTCATGGTGTTCCCTTGAAAGCACCTAAACTGAAAGTTGATATAGTAAATCATGAACATAAAAAGATCTGGGTTCCCAAGGAAAGTAAGAAAGTCTGCCTGTCTACTATCCTTGCTTTGAAATCCACATCTAACTCTGACTGATATTTTGATAGTGGATGCTCTCGTCATATGACAGGTTTGAGATCTAACTTAACTAATATTATGCATGTCTCCTCTAGTTCAGTAACTTTTGGTGATGGGGCAAAGAATAAGGTTCTTGGAGTATGGTACTTGAATGTTCCTGGTTTGCCCAAACTTAAAAATGTTCTTTTGGTTCAAAACTTGAAAGCCAATCTTCTGAGTATCAGTCAATTATGTGATCAGGGTTTGTATGTGAATTTTACTAAGACTCAGTGTCATGTGTCTGATCAATAAAATAAACATGTTCTTACTGGTACTAGGTCCAAGGATAACTGTTATCTTGTAGAACTTGATTTGAAGTGTAATAACACCAATATTGATTTGACTGAACTCTGGCATCAAAAGCTAGGCCACATTAACTATCCTCACCTGATTGAACTCTCTTCCACAGGGGCTGTTCGAGGGTTACCCAAGCTGAAGAAGGAAGAACCACGAGTTTGCGGATCATGTCAAATGGGAAAACAGAAAAGGGCCTCGCATAAGAGGTTGACCGAGGTCAGTACAAACCGTGTAATGAAACTGATGCACATGGACTTGATGGGACCAATTAAGGTCCAACGTTACAGTTAAATAAGTATATTCTAGTCTGTGTGGATGATTTTTCTAGATTCTCTTGGGTTGATTTTCTTAAAGACAAGTCCGAAGCACTTGATGCTTTCA